CCGCTCTCTCCCCCCGCCCCGCTGCCAGGCGGCGCTTCCTGCGGCGCAGACACGCGTGGGAGCGTGGAGGGTGCTTTATTTCCATAGAGCAACACGCAGAGGAAAGGGGGGGGGGGCGGTGGTGGGGACACTCCACTGCCCGGGAGCCGCCTCCCCCCCCCCCCCATGTGCACCCAGACCCGTGGCGTGGCTCAGACACACAAGTTGGTCCCCGTGGACCCCCACCCACCCACCGGAGCTGCGCCAGCGCCGCCCCAAGGGGCCCGGCTACAGAGCTCCAGCCCTCGCGGAGCCCACCCGTCCCCGCTCATTTCTTCTTCTTCTCCTGCGTGCTGGTGAACCAGGAGTCCAGCAGCTTCTTGCTGTAGTAGAGCTGCCAGCCGTGCACCTGGGCGGCCACCACCACCACCAGGTACATGACGGAGACAGCAGAGAAGCCGAAGATGAAGCGGTAAGCTTTGCCGTGACGATAGAGCTGCTGCGCCATGGGGAACATCTCCATGGCCCCATAAATGAGGGGAGCCACAGAGAAGAGGCCGGTGCTGATCATGGAGAGCACCAGGTAGCTGATGTTGTTGCGGGGGAAGGAGAGGAGACCCAGGAGGGACGGCAGGATGCTGAGCAGGTAGGGGTACTCCCACTGGTAGGGCATGGCCACCTGGTCGTGGGGCAGCAGCTTGAGGTGCCCCACGCACATCTGGGCCAGCAGCAGCAGCCAGATGCCCACATGCGTGTAGATCAGCTTCTTGATCTCCGACTTGAGGGCCACGCTGGGGGAGAGAGCGCGGGGTCATCAGGGCCTGCCGGGGGGACGTGGTCCGGCCCCCACCGGGAGCCCTGGGGGAGGCCGCCGGGTCCCCGCAGCGGCGGGACACCCACCTCATCTGGTAGTGCGAGGCCACGCGCTCCCGGTGCTGGAAGTCGCTGCCGTCGGTGCCGGTGGCGCGGGGACCCCCGCGGGAGGCCATAGTGCTACCCTGGGGAGGCACAGCGTGAGGCAGGAGCGGCCCCCCCCCCCGCTCCCCCGGGGCGGCTCCG